TGTTGTGTGTATGACATATAATCAAACAGACCTAGAACAATCGTCATTATACGATTGATTGTGCTTGTCGGTCTATTCCTATTCCTTTTTATGTATATATCGGGTAATACGTCCATCAGCAGAGTTCGGAAGTCTTTAGATGGCGTCTAGTCTCATACGCACGACACGCTGACAGATTATAACGAGTCCATGCATCATAAATTGTTTATTTTTTGTAAAGCGGATATACGTTTTAGTATGTTATAAAACGAATATGAGAATTTGAGTCAAATCGATTAACATGAATTTGACAGCTAATGCCATTTTAATGTGTATTTGTTTGCTTTATAGATGACATAATGATTAAAAGATTGAAATGAAAACGTGGTTGCAAATCTCATCTTTTGGTAGACATAATGATTGTTTGCATTTTTTGTATATTGCACGACTGAATATATATCAATCACACCCGACTGCCGTCACATATATTTATTCCATTTAACGGCAAAACACATTATAGATAGGAGGTTCATAGACAGCATTCTTGAGAAATATTTCCTAAACGGTACATGACTATTCACATTTTTCTTGGACGATCTTTAAAATTGATGTCTATGGCAATGAAAAATAATACAAGAAACACATCATTCGGTCATTGAGCATTACATTGACAGTTATTTTAATGGCAAAAAGGAAAAATAAACACGTTATCTGTCAATTCTACAGTAAACAAAGTCATAAACCAACATATGTTGTGATAGGTTTTGACGCGAACGCAACACTAGTCACAATTCTTAAAATTCCCTTGCGTGAAGTTGTTGCGGCCATTATTTATGAAAGAAATTACAACTTAAATCATTTCCTATAACAGAGTTCTTAGATCAATTCTCGTGTGATTTGACTTTAAAATATAAACTTGACCTAATCATAAAAGTCGGGTTGACTAAACATGAGTTCTTACACGTTACCGATGATCTGCGACAATAGAACAAACTAGGTTAAAATATGATAAAATATTAGGCTTTGAGCGTTCCTGATGCACGTAAATCTAGAGAAACCTTTCGGATATAATTTATAAAGTGTTGTTTTCATTTTTTATAAAAGAACTTATTTAGCATTTTTATTAATTTACAATTACAATATTCATTTTCATTTCTTACATTTGATAAAAAGAATTATTTACATATGTACAAAGCATAAGACGCCATTAAGCGGTAATATCTTTGTTTTAGCATAACTTTTCGCTCCCAACGGTTAATTGGTTAAAGCAGAAAGCAAAAAATTAGGAAAATCTAAGTTCCTGATAAGCTAAGTACCTAAAGAAATAAACGCGACTCAAGATATACGGAAAACTGATAAATAACATGCTTTCTATGTTGTGATGTTACACTATTGTTTCAGATAAGGGTGAAGGTTTGGTACCATTAAAACGTTTAAACCCGCTGCATTTGTTTGCACCTGTCCTAAGTCAGGAATCTGATGTTCAGTAGTTGTCGTTTGTTGATGTGGTTCATATGTGTTTCTCGTTTCACGTTTTTTATATAGATTAGACCGTTGGTTTTCCCGTTTGAATGGTTTTACACTAGTAATTTTTGGGGCCCTTTATAGCTTACTGTTCGGTGTGAGCCAAGGCTCCGTGTTGAAGACCGTACTTTGACCTATAATGGTTTACTTTTATAAATTTTGACTTGGATGGAGAGTTGTCTCATTGGCACTCATACCACATCTTCTTATATCTATTAACTCGGTGGTCTTATTTATACTGAATTAATTTATGTTATTCTGATGAAGACTTACTGGTAAAAAAACTTCAAGGGCTACACACAAGTGTTTTGATTACGTTATCAAATTTTATATTACTAGTATTTGATAACACTTCACAAATTATTATAATCGGTTATTAAAAAAGAGGCAATAATACAAAGGGAACATTCAAAGTTCATAGGTCGAAGAAAACTGACAACGCCATTCTAAAAATAGAAAGACGACGAAAACATGAACAAGTCCACAATTAACTGTCTACATAGACAACTAAAGATTGAGCAACCAAAACTCCGACAAAAACCAGGGAAGAACACAGGTGCCCCGAAAGTTCACCCGTCAACTTGCTCATGTTAGTACAAATACAGTGATAACTTGCATTCGGTGGTATCACAATTGAAGAAAAAAGGACGGAACTGTAGTTACGACAATTGGAACATATCCGTGGTTATGTGTGACACAGATTTGTACTAACGGTCAACTAACACGTTATTGCGTCCGTAAAACTTTCGAACGGATTACTTCAACTTTACCAATTGGAACCCTTGGTTAGATAGCTTTCTTGTAAGCAAAATAGTATTAACAAAATTACCGAACTCCAAGGTAAAGGGGGATGTCCATGAAAACTGACAAAATCAAACGTAAAATTATCAACCAACAGAACGAATGATGAACAACTGTCATTTTCCTAACTTGTTACAGGCATTTTCCGAGGACAATGGTGGGTTTAACATGGTTTTATAACTAGCTTAACCTCCCACTTGTAAAGACCCTCTATCAATGCAAGGAAATCATGATAGAAAGCGAAAAATCTTGAATATCTTATCAACTGGATGATATGTACTCCTAAAGCAAAGAGTAAAACCTACTAAACCGGTTATCAAATTAAGTGTTCTAATAACGCTTTTCTTTCTGCTGACCACAATTTTATGTCACTGGTTTCAGTCATAGAGTACTACTGAAATTTCAAAGACAATGTTACTGGGACCAAAAGTCTTAAGATTTTTGGAAGAATCGAGGTTTGCAGGTTTGCACAAATATGTTTCAAATTTTTACAATCACAAATTAGCGAACAAATCTATAGTAGACCAATTTATGAGCATATCAACACCAAATATATCTGATTGCACTATGTTCCATTAATCACTTAACTTATTATCAAGTTTTCTGATCTATCAATAAAGAGTAAGTGTTGTCTTTATGTATGTATTTCAAACTGGTAAACACTGGAACAGATCTGTTATTGTATAACAATATTGAGAAATGAATAAAAATGTTGGAAACCGTTAATGGGAGTGCAATCGTTCAACAAACGCCAAACAAATACATCGATATAGAGGTCAGTACAGTGTCATCAGTGCTGAGCAGGTGCGTTCATTATACACAAAGAACTATAAATTTCCTTAAGTAAGTTTTCAGCACATTGGGACATTGGAATTAAACATTAAAGCTTAGCGACTAAAAGGTTGAGAAGTCAAGTTTTCTATAATAATTGAATGGGGTGAGTGACTTCCAATGTCAAAGTAACAGCAATAAAACTGAAGAGAATGAGCAAAACTTCTCACAAACATATTTTAGTCGATTGTTGTTGTAAATAATACCAGGATAGTAATGTGGGAGGGAACTTATTTGGGAGATTATTTAAAACATATTGCGTACAAAGGTTTTATTGCAAAAAACATGTTAAGACATTTCATGAGCTGCAAGTTGTTTACAAATGCAAATATCGATTGTTGTGCGAGTGTTTCTAAGAGTGAAAACAAGTGATAGTTGCGAAATCGAGAGATGTTGTCAGCTTCTCAACTGTTCGATTTTCGAAAGACTTTATTAACCTGAAATAAGTGGCCGTTTATTGTCATTTTGTCGTACGATCTTCCTTTTTTTTTATATTAATGAATAAAGGAGATATGAGGTTTACGTAAATAAGACAGTTACCCAACAATACAAATAACTCAAATGACGTCTAGAGGTCAACAAACAAGAATAAACAGGTATCGTTTCAGTGTGTCAAGATCTGTCAATGCCCCGTGTCTAGAAAAGTTTTAATAAAAGGTTATTTGGACCGCATCTATATTTCGAAATGAAATAACTCGATTTCCTTTCACCAGGAACCCTAAAACCCAAACATATGAAAACAGGATCTCTCTCTCTCTCTCTCTCTGTTATTTATTACAGTGTTACATGTACTCTTCCTAGGAATAAATAGTACCATTGTTTTAATTTACCACCAACACCATATTCAAATAAATACAAAATTATTAAGATATGACAAAAAGACAACTATTGGCGAGGTTCCTGCATTGAAGATATCGTAAAAAGACAACTATTGGCGAGGTTCCTGCATTGAAGATATCGTAAAAAGACAAATATTGGCGAGGTTCCTTAATTTAAGATATCGTTAAAAGACAACTATTGGCGAGTTTCCTTAATTTAAGATATCGCAAAAAGACAACTATTGGCGAGATTCCTGACTTGGGATATGTTAATTATAATGTTGCGAGATAATAACCTTTTCAATAAATCCATTAGGAAAAATTTTACAAAAATGAAGGACAGATCCTCAACTAGATCAAAATAGGAATAACATTACCATAAAAAGCTGATTGCTGACTTATTGTACTTAGACAATATTACCATAATCCTTATAAAAATGTGTATAAAGCCAAGATGAAAATTTAAGGAACATCTCCTTAGCTTTATAGATAGCATTAGTTTTGAGAAAAATTCATAGAAAATTGGTCATATCTTTTTCAATAAATGAATACGGCTGTCTATGTCACTTATATGACAACGTTTTTTTCGTTTGACATAAGCTTCCGAATCTGTCAACCGTCTTTGCGGAAGTATCATTTTTGCAAAACATCTAAAAAAGGATGGTTTTTCATTTGTTTCTAATATTTTAAAGGTTTTATACACTGAATAAGCTTTCTTTATACCTACAAGTTCAAACGAAATGCTACATAATAAATTAAGAGCATATAACTGTGGCTTTCAAACTGAATGACAACTTCATTAGCTATACAATACAATACTATACAATACAATACAATATTGCTATATGATTATTGCATTTAAATTTTTGGTTACAAATTTCTTTAGGAAAATTTGTCAAATTTGAAAATAAAATGCTCGATTTTGATAATTTATTTCATATCGCATACAAAATTATCCATTCTCTTGAAATACTTTATAGAAATGGGAAAGTAAATTGACAGCAAATTGCACAAATGTTTGTAGAAATTAGAAATAAATGTATTTACCTGTTGATTATTAAAGGTATTTGCTGCAAAGCTGTCAATAAAAACAATAAAGTATACACAAGTAATGAAATATAACTTCATATCCATATTTAGTGTTCAAGGCTAATCCATAAGCATCTTTCCTTTAACAATTACTTTTATAGCCAAAGTGTCTTTTGTGTCCTTAATTAAGCTTAATTAGTTTGCTGCTGGTTGCCTGTACGACTATTAGCTTCTGTTCTAATTTACTTTGTTATTGGATATCGTTGGATCACGTTTATATTTTATTGGCGCTAGTTCTTTCCCCCGCCTTCGTTGTTGTGGTAAAGTAAAGTGTCAAATTGATGAAATTTAAATACTATGTATATAGTTCGTTTTTCTTTTGAAATTTAGCGCATGACCAGAATGTAGGAGTTTCGTGTTGAATGGTTCATTTTTTTCTCTAACACTCAATTCATAAAAGCCATTCCTAACAAGATGGAAAACGGATAGTAATTAAAGTGAAATGAATAATACCAAAACCGGCAAAACAAACGCAATACAAATTTGGCTATCTATTTGAAACCTACAAATGTTTACTACTTGAACCGGTGGATAGTTGTCTCATATCATATCACATCTACTTATTTTTATATTGTAAAAGAAATTAGCCCAAACATGATTTTATAAAAGCTGCGGTTTCGTTCTCTTTTTCTTTCCTGTAAATGATGTAACTGCTACAACATCAAGTGCCAATCATCTATTCGTAGTTTTGTTTGTTGTAGACATCAAAGTGTCTTTCAACTTAATTTTATCAGATTGAATGAAACTACTGGGGAATTTTTTTTTTTAAACATCAAAAGGGCCAAAAAAGCAAAAACATGAAAATTGCCAGCAGATAACAATACAATGAGACATTGAACAAATGATTTATGGGTCACAAAGTACTTAAAGGGATGAAATGATTTGTATTCATAAACCTATGAGTGGAACATTTCTTTCATTAAGGTGGTACCCAACACCTTGACTAACATTAATTTGGCTCGTTTAATTTTCCTAAAATTTTGACAAAATGTTTACTTTGACCCTTTGACAAAAATATAAAAATTTCAAAAAATTTGAACCAACCACTTTATCAGAAAAATTTCTTTGGTTATATAGCAGTTTGACAAACACTAATTTTGATCATTGAGAAGCTTAATATTTCCTTAACAATACAACGTAATTAAAACGTTTAGCTGATTTTTACAGAGTTATCTCCCTGTAGTGTTAGGTACCACCTTAAACAATACAATTCAAATCGTTTTATTATCTGGACTGTCACATCTTCTCTGTTTACACTGTTGATCACTGTTCCTTTCGAATTATTTACCTGCTACATGTATTTTAGTAACTTTTTAATTTACTGTAAATTATCAACTACATGTATTGCATGCAGTTATTAAGTGAAGTGTAGGTCATAACATTTGTTTTCTTTTATCTAAAATTTAAGTTGATGTGTTGTACACAGGTTGATGATAGATATAAATATATCCTTACCAATATTAGAACCTAGCAAGTATCTTTCTGTCACCAATGGAATCATTTCAAACCCATTGTTTTGTTGTTGGTTATTAAAATAAAAAATTGAGATCTCATAAACATGTTTAACCCCGCCGCATTTTTGCGCCTGTCCCAAGTCAGGAGCCTCTAGCCTTTGTCAGTCTTGTATTATTTTTAATTTTAGTTTCTTGTGTACAATTTGGAGTTTAGTATGGCGTTCATTATCACTGAACTAGTATATATATTTGTTTAGGGGCCAGCTGAAGGACGCCTCCGGGTGCGGGAATTTCTCGCTGCATTGAAGACCTGTTGGTGACCTTCTGCTGTTGTCTGTTCTATGGTCGGGTTGTTGTCTCTTTGACACATTCCCCATTTCCATTCTCAATTTTATTAAAAATGTAAACATACAATAAGGATTGAAGCCATATGTATTTATACTTGGTTATGTTTATGTTAGTTTTTGGGAATGAAGTAAACCGTCAAACTTTATATTCCAATGGGTACAAATTATTACCCTCTGAGTGCACGTGTTTGCAGCGGCAAGTTTTTTTTTTTTTTTTGGAATTCTACATGACTTGTAAATATAGCTAAGGTCTTTCTTGTTACAAACAGGAAGACCATACAGTATTGCATGTTTAAATAATACATAATGCATGATACTCAACTTTCAGAATCGTCAGCCTTTTGCCTTCAAATTGTGTGCATATTTTTTTTAAACTATGATTAAAAAAAAACCTGATAAAGATTCGTGGTTTGTTTTAAACTACACATATGCGTCAGATATCTTTTTTAAAGATAGTACTTGTTTGATAAAGTACTTTAAATCAAACATTGTATCTAGTTGACATAAAATTTTTATATATTAGGGAGCTACCATTTGATTTTTATGGAGGGGGGCTAGGATGAAATTTGAAAAAAGGCAGGATAGGAGTTTTGAGTAAAAAAAAGGCAGGATGAGACACTTTGCAAAAAAAAAACAGGATGACAATTTTTGTAAAAAAAAAGTCAGGATAAACTAATACAAATTTTTTCATCCTAGCCCCCCCCCCAAAAATCAAATGGTAGCTCCCTTACTGTAATTAAAATTATCTGAATATGAACGACAATATAGACCAACAAATCTTTTTGGTATATCCCGTTTAACATATGTCATTTATTTCATTGACCATTGCAATTTAATGAGATTTAATTTGTTTCTGGATTGACCATTGTAATTTACTGTGATCTAATTTGTTGTCCTTCTAAAGCCAAGCAGAACAATATTAACATTTGACGTCAGTTTTGTACATATTAAGACAGTCTCGATTGCAGAACTGAAGTAGATATACAAATTATAAAGCAAACTTTGTACTTCAACCAACCAACTACACATGATTAACCGTAAAACTGTTGAACAGAACTATATGTATATATGTGACATCATTCCAGTAGATAAATACTGACAAAATCAAACGCTATGAATCAACGGAACACGTGCAAATAATTGTGACGTCTTGAAAGGTTTTTGAATTATTTGTACTAGCCATACATGAAGATTGCTCTATAAAACACGTTTTATTAAAATTAGATAGGATAATCTTTATTTCAGACTCAAAAGGTCCATATATATGTATAAACATGAAACAGAATATTTTGTTTAAACTGGGTACAATGTTAAAATATTTACAGTATTAATTATAGCTAAAAATTAAGATATAACTCATTTTCCATACTCGTAATTATGTTGAAGAACAATAAATCACTTCTGAGAATTGTATTAACCAAATGATTTTCAGATATTTTCAAGCGATTTAACAAACTACAGACTATTAACTGGATTTTCCGAAGGAAAACAACAGTTATTGAATTGGTGAAGTATGGCGGGTGGGCGACTGCCAATAGTTTCCGTGCAATAACTTAAGAACCGTATAACCAATTCTTTTCAATTTTTTATGTTAATACTAATGACAAAATAGAGGTCAAGTTCGAAATTGACGATTTTCACTTTTACCGTTGAGGAGTTGTGTTCCTTGATATATTGGAAAATGGCTCTTTATGTCGTTTCCGTTCAATGATTTATGAACCATTCTACCAATGGGTTTCAAACTATAATTTGTTGTTACTGGTGAAGAAATAGAGGTCAAGTTCAAGCATGATCTTAATCTTGCACAGATTCCAAGAATATATTAAAATAGTTTGTAGTTCTTTTTTTTTGATAAAGGAGATGGTCAGCGACTTTCGGTTTCAAATAGTCACTTCTGATGTCATCTGAAAGCTTATTTTTCACTTTTTCCAAAAATATATGGTTTCTTTGTATTTCCGTATGAAATAACGGAGATAATTAGCTATTTCCGGTGTACAAAATGCCACTATTGGTGACCCTTACATATAGCTTTCATAACACTGCTTTGAAAAATATGATTTCTATATACCTTTACTCTAATTAAGGGAGATAATTGGCTACTTTGGGTGTAAAAACTTTATTTTATATTCAAAATCTAAATCAACATTAAATCGAGCACATACATTGTACCTAAATATTTGTTTGTTGTACGATAACTTTATTACATCCCCTGTAGAAAAAAAGCATTACTTTAACCTGAGCATTGTTTGGAATGAAATGTATTTGTTAATTCCCCATTAGATCTATATTGCTATTCATTTCAACAGAAATAGGACAGTCTGGTATTTGTACATGTATGTATATTTAAATTATTCAGGACATTTTTTTCCTCAATGATGAATGAACACAAATTTGATTTCTTTCTGTTTCATCACCACAGTTCCTTTTCTTTGTTAAGGTTTACGACCCATTCTGTAGGCCTATGGATTACGAAATTTTCAAAGTGCTACAATATCAAAACACCTTGCTGTATTTCATTAAACAGAAATGTGAATGAATATTGTGTCGGATTTCTATTTTATACTGTAAGAACGTAAGAAAATATCAAATGGTGCAATCACAAATCATAAGTCGATAAAAGAGGGATAACAACAGTGACAAAAACAATGACAACAACAGTGCCAACAACAGTGATAACAACAGTGATAACAACAGTGACAACAACAGTGACAAAAGAAAAAAAAACACAATGAGACAAACAACAATCTTTAAAACAATACATAAACAAACTAAAGGCACCAACTATAAATAACAAAATTAATATATAATTCTTTAAAATGCGGAATGTGAAAGTACTTTTCGAAAGAAAAAATCAGCATAAAGGTGGTCTTCTACCGTTGTTAGGTTTTTCAAACAACCATGAATATACCACGTCAGTGCAGTATCAGGATAGTGAAAATAACGAGCGATTACATGGCCGAAACAACAACAAAAACACTTGCCAACATTTAAATACCAATCGTGTACATATTAACAACACAACACTGAGAAGTCAAGCTAATGCAATACAAATGTCATTAAACATATTCTGAACGATTTTTGAGATAACAATTAAAAAATTATAGTTAAGGAAGAGAAAAGATAAAACTTTCTGCTATGGTCAGATGTGCATGTTTAAGTTTTCATGTGCGCAAAATTTGTATAGTTTAGATGTTAATTCCGGTAAATATATATCGAGAACCGAAGAACAATTCGCTAGATCGTTGAAACTTATGAATTTCAAAACAGTTCTAGATTCTTACTAGATGTACTGTTAACAATGTGTACATCATGTGTGTCACATCAATTCTTGGCCTTCATACAGATTTTGATAAGTCAAAAAATTTCGGTAAGGCAGTTGGGTTGACATTTCATTATTAAATTAAAACTAACTTGTGCAATATAACACTTTCATCTCGCATGCACGTAATCATGGAAATTAAGACCAATTCACATCCGTCTA